TGGACGGGCGGAGGCGAGGAGCGGGCACTGCGGTCTCGACCGAGCCCCAGCGCTACACCGCGGCTGCTCCCGCTCCACGACGGCCCTGCACACAGCCCGAGCCCGCCTGCGCATGCGCCAAAAGCCAGCCGGGGACGGGCGCCCTGGAGGGGCGGTTACGCCTACAAGCCCTCCTGTGAGTAAGCGCGAAGCCAAGAGCCCGGGCTAAGATTGCACGATAGAATTGTCCATCAATCTTCGTGAGGCCAATAGGGAGGCTCCTAGGCGGAGCACTCAGGTTGCTAAGGAAGGCTGTGGTTCACCGCTGTTGCTGCGCCGCGCGAAGCCACCAGAGTGTGGTGACTGGCGGTGGCTGCTCAGCCAATGCCCACCCACTGTCTCTGCTCTCCGGTCTCTAGAAAACGCCTTCCCTTGTGTGCCGGGTGCTTACCTGAAGTGTAACACTTACTACACGCACCGAAATGTTTTACTTTCCTACTTCCTCACCTTCAAATCCGGAAATGAGTGAGGCTCAGTCTTCTCTTGAGGCCAGCGCGCGGGAGAGACTTCGCTGGGTATTCAACAAGTGTTGGAGGGACGATGGCGCTGTAACGGGACAGGGTTGTGACAGTGCCTTCCGTGAGCTTTCGGCTTACTCCACCACCACGAAATCATACAGTCGCAAAGGACCTCGGAAATCATCTGCTGACTTTTGAGAGGCAAAAGGTGGTCCGTGTCCCCACGTTGGCCCAGGAGATGAGTCCACGGAGAAAAGTTCTTTATTTGGTAGTTACCTACTTATTTCAAAGTGCATTACAGGGGAAGATGCCTACCAGGACATGACTGTTTTACTGGTGTGACTTCTTAGGTCAAACAGAGAGTTGTGGAAACTGAGACTACTTAAAAATGCTAAGTTAAAAAAAATGGAGACTATAAAGTTCAAGAACGGACGGGCGAGACTAACTGATAGTGATTAAAGTGAGAACAGTGGTAACCCAGCTATTGGCTGGGAAGGAACCAGAGGAAACCGTTTGGGGTGCCCATTCTGCATTTTGATATGGATGGTGAATAACAAAGCTATATGCATGTGAAAAATTCATCCAGTTCTACTCGAGGTCAGTGCACTTTACACATTTTCAACATGTGTTTTCCATCAGATTTTTTAAAAGTATAGTTACAAGGTTCGTCACACACACACAAAATTTAAATGGCAAATATGGGACCAGCAGAAGTGTAATCCACTCTCACCCAATCTCTCTTTTTCATATTACTCGATTTTTTTTTTTCATAACATTATCCTGATACTATCTTGTATTTGTGTGTGTGAGATTTGGGCTTTCTCCCCTTTTAAGAGGTAAGCTCTCTAGAGTCATTTGTTTAACTCTTTCTCTCCTGAATCTATAATAGTGCCACTATACTCAGTAAGCACTCAATAAAGTTTTGCATGAATTAATTTGTACAGAAAGAGTTACTATGCGGTGCTTTCAAAGTGAGTGTTCCTGATATTAAAGATGTGTTCAGGCCAGCCTAGTGGTTAAGGGAGTTGGTTCCCACTTGGCCGACTGTGGTTCAAGCCTCAACCCCAGCAAGCTTGAAAAACATTCCAGGTGTGTGTATGTGCATGCCCAAAATGTCAATAGGATGGGACGTGGAGAAAGAATTGTTGCATGACAACACTGCATTGCAGTGTGCTTTCTCCCTCCCTCTTTCTTTCTGGTAAGCACATGTGCCCTCTGGCAATTAAATAAAAAAAAAAAAAAAAGATTTATTTGTCCAAGGAACATCAAATAGCTCTACACAGTGTGCCCCATTTCACAGAAAGAGATTTCAAGTTTAATCATTTTCTTACTTTCTTGACGTAAGTTTCAAGCCCAAGAAAGATGCCAGGGCCTTATCACATTTTGGGAGGGTTTTGTATCTCTGAACTATCTCTGAATTGTCTCTCCAGTTGACTTATCTCTCTAACTGATTTACACAGGTTATAAGACCTAAAAATAGAACAAGAATAAACACCGTTTTACAGAGAGTCCCTGAAAATGCCAAGGCAAAGAAAAAACAAAATCAACACAGTTCGACAAAGATTAATTTCTCTAAAGACCCATGTTCATAAAATCTTGACTTTTATAAATGAAGCAGCACTGGAACAAACTTGTCCCAGGACACTTCTTTTGTAACAGTGGATATTTTACTGCATTTGTGGTAGAATATTGCTTTGAGGGAAATTCTACTTTTGGACCCTTCCTTAGCATAAAGCTACCTACCGCAGCTCCAGTTCTGTGGCCTACCATGCAAGCCAGACCACAGGCAACAATGATGAGTTCAGGATTAGACACATGTCCCCAAACAGGCTGATTGGGTAAATAAGAGTAAATTCTATTCCCTGTTTGAATTCTCAGGTTTTCCTTGTTGATATCTTTGTCTTCCTTGATGGAATCTGAAAGGATGTGCTCATTGGCCATCTTGTTACCATGAGGAAAGAACATCTAAGAATGGAGTCAGCACACTGGAAAGGTAAGAGAGAGGAAGAAAACCAGTGTCTTAGTGATATTGGTTGAATTGCTAAATTCAGCAATACCTGAAGCTGAACCATGTAGACTTTTCAATTAAGTCAGTCAGTAAAGTCATTTAGAGTGGGGGTTCCTGTCATGTGCATCCAAAATAGTTCTAAATGATAGGCCACCCAAGAAGTGAGGATCTCTGAACAGCTCAAAAATCTGTCTCTTAGTTCAGCTAGCAAATAGCTACTGAGTATTTACTGCATGTGGGGCATTAGACTTGGTCCTGGGGTTACATGTGAAAAGCAAACTTCCTTTCCTTAAGGACCTTCACATTTAAGTGATGGAAACAGGCAAAGCAGCAAGAACTCAGACTGTAAGTGTCTTTAAACAAAGAGAAATACTTGTAGTTAAAGAGTGAATGTTCAAGAAAGACATCCAAGAGGATGAGACAGATATGCTGGTTCTTGGAAGACTGTCAACTGGGTAAAAGAATTAGGATCCTGCTGGAGGTTAGGGGGTGTTTGCACAGATGAGACTTTTCCAGAAAAGGGAAGAGCAAATTCAAAGACATGAAGGTATCAGAAACACAACACACAGGAGGAACTGGAGAGGGGAGCCAACAGGTGGCTTGGTCGTTAAGGCACTGGACTCCTACATGGCCAAGTAGGGTTCGAAGTCCTGGACCCTATGGCTTGAAAATCATGACAAGAGCTCCAAAATCAGCTCCAAAATCCTGGGGGGAGATTGAGGGAGAAGGGATTGTAGCATCGCTATCCCCCTTGGGAGTGATTTCTTATTTTCCTCTCTATGTCTCTCTCTGGCGAGCACCTGCATGCACCCTATAGACAAAGAAAGAAAAAGAAAAAAGCTTGAGGAGGAAGGGGTAGGAGGTTGCTATGGTCTGAATGTTGTATCCTCCACCCCCACCCCTCATGCTGTAATTCAATGTCCAGTGCTGCGGGGTTGGGAGGAGCCTAGTGGGAGGTAGTTGGGAGATGGGTGTGTATCTCTGATGAATAATAGATGACAGTACCCAGAAAAGCGCATGTTCTCACTAACTGGTTCCCACCAAAGCAGGTTGTTGTAAAAGCAAGTTAGTTGCCCACAGGTCTCTCTCTCTTTGCACCCACACTCTTTGACTTTACAGCCACCAAAACTGTGAGCTGAATAAACCTCTTTTCTTTATAAATCACCCAGTCACAAGTGTTCTGTAACTCAAACAGATTAAGACAGCATTGAAGCTGAGCAAGGGTAGCAAAGGCCAGTCTTTCATTAATGTGAATGCCACCATGTTATGGAATGTAGTCTTTATTCTAAAAGACCAAGAGGAAATCCCCAAAGATGTTAAAAATGAAACGATGACAAGGACAGATTTCCATCTTAGAAAAATCATCTTACCACCACATGCTTAGGCTGGGTTTAAGTGGCAAATGATGGGGACTGGGCAATCTGTAAGAGGACCTTGGCTTCAGGTAGGAAGTTCTGCTGTACAAAGCTGAATCTTCTCTTTTGGGGGAAAAGGTAATCTTCCTTCCTTAATGTCAAGCCCAACACTATCCAGTATATGTGAGCCATAGATATGATTTAAAATTTTCTTGTATCCACATTTGAAAATTAAAAGGCAGGGCTGGCAGGTGGCGTGCTGGTTAAGGGCGCTGGATTCCCACATGATCAACCATGGTTCAAGTTCCAGACCTGGAAGCTTGCTTTCTCACTTTCCTCTCTTTCTTCCTCTCTCACTCTGTCCCTCTCTGGTCAAATTAAAATAAATAAGTCAATAAATAAAGTTAAATAAAATAATTCTAAAAATAAATTTAAAAAAGGCAAAATTAATAATATTTTATTCTGTGAAGTAAACTAAAATATTAACAATTTCAACATGTAATCAATATAAAATTCATTGAGATATTTTACTTTCTACCAGTCACAATAAGTCTTCAAAGTAATCTAGTGTATGTATGTGTTTTGGATTTTTATTTGTTTGTTTGTTTTTACAGTTTTTGCCAAAGGGTGCATGCACTGGCTAAAGAGAGACAGAGAGACAGTGAGAGGGAAAGTGAGAAATCACCCCTAGGGATGATGCCCGTGCCGCAACCCCTTCTCCTGCATTCTCCTCCTGGGATTTTGTGCACACATGTGCATGCATTCAACATAATTTCCAGGCTGTCAGGCCCCAGACTCGAACTGCAGTCAGCCATGTAGGAGTCCAGCACCTTAACCACCTCATCACCTGCTGGCCCCTCTAGTGGATGTCTTAATGTTTATAGCACATCTGAGTTTAGACTAGTCACATTTCAGATGTCCAAAACCAGTGTGGCTGAAGGCTACTGTACTGAATAGCAAAGTTCAGGCTGGTTCTGACGCAGATCCTCTCTCTGGGAATTCCTTTCAAACCTCAACATGTGCCTACAGCCATAATTCCTGCACTGTATCTCTTTTGCTTATTTATTTTCCTCGACAACCTTAGGCTGGCACTATTGCCTCCTTTTTGCAAGTAGCACAGGTTTAGATTGCGTATGTTGTTCCAAATCACATAGCTACTGATTGGCACAGTTATCTTCTGAGGAATGGAAATGAAAGGAAATTGCCAAATCCAATTTAGAATAATACTCTGAAGAGCTCTTCCCTGGTTTGGCCCCCTCACTCCTCCTCTCCCCTTATTCATTTAAAACTGTGAATGCTCAGTCTGTTTACAAAGTGCTCAGTAAAGAACTACTTCAGCAACAAATCTGTTGTTCAGGATATACTCATTCCTATAATATAGTTTAAAATTCTGCAGGCCAGCAGGCATGAGGTTAAGGGAGCTGGATCCCACAAAGCTGACTGTGGTTCCAAGTCTCAGGCTGGGCGGTTTGAAAATCATACCAGGTGTGTGTGCGTGCATGCCCAAAATCCTGAGAGGAGAATGGAAGAGAAGGGGTTGCAGCGTAGCCATCCCCCTCCCCTGGAGGGTGATTTCTCACTTTCTCTTCCTCTTGCTCTCTGTCTCTGTTTCTTTCTGGTGAGCACACACGCCCTTTTACAAAAACTAAAAAAATTCTACAGGCACAAACTAAACAAAGAAATGGATTAGAGTTTTATGCTGCACTACAAATAAACGTGCAGTAAATGGCATTTATCTTTATGATGATTACCAAGCCGGATCGTATTATCATTTTTAGGGACCTTGATGCATTCTCATTGCAAATACCCCTCCAAACTGGTTGTACTCATTTATGATTTACATCCTTGTTATCAGGGCATTAGAGTGCATAACCTTTCCGATCTAAGTTCTTATATAAAACAGAAAGACCAGGGTTTTAGAAACAGTCAGGGGCCTGGTTCTATGGCCTATTGATTAAGGGAGTTAGATCTTACATGCTGACTGTGGACTAAATCTTCACCCAGCAGCTTGAAAATGCTGGGTGCCTGTGCATATGTGCTCTAAATCCCAACAGTGTGGAGGAACGGAGGAGAAGGGATTGCAATGTGACCATGTCTCCTTGTAGGGTGCTTTCTCCCTGTCTCTCTCTGTCTCTCTGTCTCTCTCTGGTGAGTGCATTTACTCTCTGGCAAATAAAATAAAACAAAAATTGTAATAAATACATAAAATAGAAACAGGATGAGTGTGGATCCTAGATGCTCAATTTTTTCTCAATGAAGGGTCTTTTCCCCCCATAGCCACACTATGGACAAATATGTAAAACAGCATGTGTGCAGCCGTTAATGTATCGGTACAATGCAAGTGCTCTGCCCAATTTACCTCTTCCACTTTCCCTTTAAAGACAACAAGATAAAAATAGAAGCATTGAAAATAATTATAGATACTGGAGACTGGGAGGAGGGTGGGAGAAGGAGGAGAGTGTAAGGAAAGAAATTAAGCAGGAAAGTAGAGAGACAAGACATTTATTTATGGGACACAGAAATGGATTATTATCTGTTGATGATAATGTGTTTTGTATCCTCAACTGGACTGGTGTGAAGTGAATTCATGTTGGGTAAATTCAACTTAGAGGCTAAGTGAGGTATAGTGATTAAATGTATAAAATAAATTAAATAATTTTTAAAAAGACCATCTAGGAGGGACCAGCAGTTAGCGTAATAGCTATGTCGCTGGACTCCCATGTAGTCGACCGTGGTTTGAGTCCCAGACCCGGTGGCTTAAAACTCACGCCGGGCGCGTGTGCGTGCATGTCCAAGATCCTGAGAGGAGAATGGAGGAGAAGGGATTGCGGCGTGGCCATCCCCCATGGGGGTGATTTTTCGCTTTCTGTCTCTCTGTCTCTCTCTGACTGTCTGTCTGGCAAGCGCACATGCCCTATAGCAAAAACCTCTCCAAAAATAAAAAATAAAAAAGACCATCTAGGAGTAGATGTGATTATGCAGAAAAAGGAACACTACAGAAAGCTGGGAAAGATGCACACTGTTACAACTGTAATAGACAATTTCCAACAAAAAGTACACACGGCCATGTATTGACTTCTTCAATAGACATGGCAGCTATCCAGATTTCTGTCTTTAGCGCCTCCTAATTAATATATGCCAGATGTACTGCTTATTGATAGACAATTTATTTAATTTCTGAAACTCTTTCTATTCTCCATAATAGCCCTTCCACCAAAAGGTTTGCTTAAAGGCCGATCATGGGACCAAATCAAGCTTCTAAAGTTTTATTTTCAGTGGCAGAAGGGAAAGGGGTTGTTGGGTTGATAGAAAAGAGGGGAACACAAAAGCCTCAGGATTAAGGGACCACCCTGGTCTCAAACAAAGTTATCACAATTATTTCTCAGCCTGGAGTCAAGGGGATTTAATTTTAGGAGTATAAAAGGGTCTAGAGATTCCCTCGTAATAAGTGCAACAGAAAACCAGAGTCACTTTTTGGGGTAACATTATGTTGATTTAGCTAGGTTTGATTTGGTATTTATTTTACATGTAGGTTCTAGTTTAGAGAAGATGGGAGCTGTTATTCTGCATCCGGAGAGATTTATGGGCTGGCTCAAGTAGCACACATTTCCTCCTATTGCTTTTCTCTTT